CCATGTGAGAAAGGAATTTAGAGCCCTGAGTGAGGTGTTTTCATCCCTGCCCTGCATTATGGCCAATGTTTCCACCCAGGACTCGAGTGTTAGCTGCTGAACAAAAATAGAATTATGACTGACTCTCCCTTTCCTCATCAAAAAGAATTTGGGGTTAGTATTAACTTTATAAAACACATGGGGTCAGGGTAGGCCAGTAGCTGACCACTTTCTGCAGATAAGAGGAAACTTCTGCCTTCATTTCTAGCTCAGAGTATGTCTAAAAGGGCTTTGGCTAAACCATGTAGAAGTTGGTTCAAAGATACGAATACCTTGAAATGATTTTGATTTACTGAGATATATCTATTTAATAGGAAGAAGAATTTGGACTGGCTGATTCTTCCGCTAGGGCATCCAAATACGTGGTGCTCCAAACTAGGACATTCTTGGAAGGGAAAGGACACCGCCAGGACAATCCGGGCACAGGGGGACATAAGGTCATCCTAACCACACACCTCGGAAACTCTTTGTGCACCCCATGACCCGGACGACCAGGCAGGTCTCCAACATCAGTCATCCGGTGGAGTATTCAGGGAGTACCTACCGTGACCCAGGTACTCTGTAGGTCCTGCAAAAAATAGCAGTGAGCACGACAGCCTTGGGGATCCCCCCTCTGAGCCCATCACCTCCACCAAGAGGACTACTTACCTTTGGTGATGTGTCCAGGGCCTGCTGCTCGAAGGCAAGGCGATGTCAGACTCTGGCTTAAGCCACACCTGAGACTTGCCATTTAATCCTGCCTTCAATTCCTTCATGGGAAACACTGGAGGGACTGTGGTTAAGTAGAAGCTGATAAACCAGATCCAGATGCTTGCAGCTCATCATCAAGAGAGGAAGAATGTAAATAAGTAATTACATCATTTTTGAATTGCAGGGGTAATTAAGTCATTTGAGAAATCCAGGGTGTGTGATGGGAGGATGGGCTCACACGTTTTTCCCAAGCAAGTGACAGTAAGCTGAGCCCTAGGAGTTAGGCCGCTAAGAGGGAAGGAAGGGGGTTCCATGCAGAGGAACCCCCGCATGCTCGAAGTGAGAAGGAGCATGGCATGGTTATGGATCCGAACAAGGCCAACGTGTCTGGAGCAGAAAGAAGAGAAGTTCACAGGCTTGGTTTATCTCTTTATTTTATGCATTTCACATATCGATCAAAGGCTTTGTGGAGTTTTGGAGTAAAGCAGTCAACAGACACACTCTGTTTCCTGGGAAGTGCCCAGAAGCTCCCAGGGCAGCAAGGGAGTGGCTGGACAGGCCCTTCCTGCTGCGGACCACAGGGGGGACACCCAATGTGGGCTCCACATGGGCGTGGGGGGGGCAGCAGCTGTATCCTCTCAGCCATTGCCCCCCACCCCCGCCCAGCCCACCGCACATTTTTAGGAGCTGACTGGTTTTCATGTCCCAAGCTCCTCTGCCGCTTCCTGTGTTCGGGTTTTATCTTTCAAGTGGCCCAGAAATCCTGTGTCCACGCGACCTCAGAGTGACAGGCTGGCCCAGCTGATCACTGGGCCAGGGGCGGATCAGGCAGGGCTAGCTCAGCCATGCTCTCGGGGCAGCAGCTTTCCTGAGGATCTTCACTGGAAGACGGACGGGGGATGTCAGATCCATGACACAGAACTTGATGAAGGCAGAGTGTCCACATTACATATAAAGTGCCAAAAATACAGATTTTGGAGTCAGAAAGACCTGGGTTTGAATCTCAACTTGGCCACTTTAACCCTTCACCTGTAAGATGGGAGTATCAATACGTATCTCAGAGGGTGGCGCATTCTCAGTAACCATCTGAACAAGGGAGGAAATGATTTTTTTTCTCCCTTCTTAACCTCAAACACGCTGCCCTAGAGCTCATCTGCTCTGGAGGCTGGACCAGGGAAACTAGGTCGGCGCTGTCAGGACATCACAGATTCAGTGTGGAATTTTGGGGTAAGATTACGGCAAATGTCTGCTTGTTTCTCTTTTTTTGATGATGGTGACCTGGATCCGTCTTTTCATTAGGGACTGCAAAGTGGTAGTGCAGCATGACATACCTACGGATCATCTGGATTACTTCCTTAAAGAGAAACCTCCCCCAAATCAAGGATTTGACTCTCCCCGAATACAGTCCCTATAGGAAAGGCAGGACTGGTGCTTGAGACCTTCCTTTTATTTGCCAGTCTCATAATCCATGTGGACTGCTACAACAGAATACAGTAGACTGGGTGGTTTATAAACAAGAGAAATTTATTTCTCACAGTGCTGGAGACTGGGAATTCCAAGATCAAGGCACTGGCAGATTCGATGTCTGGGAAGGCCCATTCCTGGATGGCAGACGGCCATCTTGCAGAAGCAGGATGAGATCTCCCTGGAGTCCTATTCAGGACACAATTACTCCACTCTCAGGACATAAGTACTGTCCAAGGCCCCACCCCCAAATACCATCACACTGGGCACTAGGTTTCAACGCATGAATTTTGGGAGGACACAAACATTTTGGTTATATAGCAGGCACTTTTCAAAATAATTACTTGGTTACCTAATACCCTCAAAAGTTGACTAATGGATGTTTTGTGTGTTTTTTTTTTTTAAGATTTTATTTATTTATTTGACACAGAGAGCACAAGCAGGGGAAGCGGCAGGCAGAGGGAGAAGCAGGCCTCCCGCGGACCAGGGAGCCCGATGCAGGGCTTGATCCCAGGACCCCAGGATCATGACCTGAGTTGAAGGCAGGCACTCAACTGACTGAGCCACCTAGGAACCCCTAACTGAACTTTTTAATGTCAGTATTTACTATCAAAATTAGGATAAAGAGGGAAGAAATGTTTTGTCTGGCTAACCTCTTTAATTTAGCATTATAATCATCATAGGTACACGGGGTACATCCAGGCTTCACTAGCCTGTGCCTACAATATGAAGTACCATCTATTTTTTTTTTTTTAGAGGGAGAGAGAGCGGTGGTGGAGGGCAGAGGGAGAGGGAGAGAGAAACTTAAGCGGGCTCCACACCAAGCATGGAGCCCGATGCAGGGCTCAATGTCACAACTCTGACATCGTGACCTGCCTGAGCCGAAACCAAGAGTCAGATGCTTAACCAATTGACCCACCCAGGCACCCCCCCCATTCATTTTTAATGCCCAGATTACCATAGTTTGAGGTTCCCTAAACATACTTTAAAGGGGACATAGCAATCCTCATGTCTCATGGGGGAGACTCATGGGGGAGTCTCCACAGGGGGCCTTGAAGGCAGCACCAAGCAGGCTATTAGCTGCAGTCACCACAGCAGGTTGCTGGCCCCTCTCTCTGGCCTGCACGTCGCTCCTGCTGGCGGCCATGAGGCATCCCTGCTGCTGGAGGGTGCCGGCTGGGAGGACATCAGCGCTGACCACAGCAGGGCCACGGTCCCTGGAGGTAGCAGGACACCGCTCGGATGTCTCTGAAGAGGCCGGGAAAATGGCTGCCCCCACCACTGTGCTAACCCGTCTCCCGCCCTCTGCCCCCCATCGTGCACCATTCTCCTCAAGACTCTCCTGAAGAGCTCCGGCCGCTTCTCTAGAACCTTAGAGAGATGTTCATGAAAAGGGTCCCTTCCTCGGATGGTGGAAGCCCCCCGGCCCTCCCCCAGGGGCCAGAAGCAGAACGGAGGCTGTCCTCTGCTCTATAAACACACACCCTGGAGTGCAGGCAGGTACGGGAACATGAGTTACACCCGCAGCATCTTCTTAGCGCCTGATGTACCCTCCTGCGGCCATGACCTCCCATCTTGCCGGCACTCAGGCAGAACGCACAATTCGGGGGCTCTTACTTGGAACAGTGAAGCAGGAATTCCTCACTGAAAACTAACTCCTATCAGTTTAAAAAGCAAAATAACTGAGGGAGTGGACAATATTACTTGAGGATGCATTTACACACAAGTAATCCTGGAGCGCACACACATTAACAATACAAAGACTAGTGATATGAAAGATTAGTTTTGATCAATAGCCTTTCAGAGATTTACCTAGAACCGAAGAGGAGATTTTAAATTCACAGAAAGCATTGTTAAGCAAGCAAGAGTAAGCATACTGATTGAAATGAATTAGGAAAAAATGCCCCACTTTGGAAACAATTTCCTAAAGAAAAAAAAGTACATAAATTCATAAAATAGTCCTAGGACTCATAAATATTGCAATTCTCATGCAAGCACTCCTACATTTCAAAAAAAAAATCACAGAAGTGAAAAAATGCTTAAAGGCTTATAAGAGGTTGATTTTTTTTTTTTACTGTTTTATTTTTACTATCATTTTCATTAATTGGTTATTCTGTGTCATAAACTATCAACCTGTTAGTTTTAGAATGAGCCCGAGCCACTTTTGGTAAGTGCATCCTGATCTCTGGTGGTTGGGGGGGGGGTCCCTGGGCTCTGGGGGCTTGCTGTTAATGGCAAAGCCCTTTGAAGCTTAGCTCGGACATTCTGCAAGTGTTGCTGAACTGAGTTTAGTCTAGGCCTCACCGGCCCACTGAAGATATTCTGTAGAGGGTCACGTGGTAACCAGGTCTCAATGCGTGTTGGCAATGGGGGACCCTCTGTCTGTTCCTCCCAGTCCTGCCTGCTTCTGAATTGCCCGAGGGAGGAGGCCCTAGGGAGGGTTCTTACCATGCAGTCATTATTCTGATCCTGGAATGACAGCTGAGCCTAGGCTCCAGGGATGACGGATGTCTTAGGTAAGGTGGAAATGGTCACCCAAGGGGCTCTACAAAGGGACCCTCCCTTCCATTCCTGACCCAGACTCCGGGCCCAGGTGCAATGGCTTAGCTCCTGTTGGGGATGTTTCTTCTCTGCTGCACCGTGTCTTGCTGACTCTTCTCAGTGTCAGTCCCCTGCCCAGGTCACCCTGGTCCTTGCCATTGGCATCCCCCGGTCCTACACCCGTTGGAGTACTTGCAGGGACAAGAGAGGGACCCAGGCTGCAAAATCACAGCATCAGCTGCCCATGGGGGTGTGAGCCGGTGCCCCCTGACCAGGGAGGTGGCGCCTCTCCCCCTCAGCAAGGGCTGGCCCTGCTGCAGGCCTTGGTGTGCGGGCTCCGGGAAGGTTGCGGAGGGTGGGCAAGGAGGCCATGCAGGATGGCCACCCACTTATACAGAGCTCTACCATATTTTCTGCAGCTCTCAGACTCTTGGGCCTGACCTTGGCCTTGAGAAGTCCTCAAGTCTATTCCGCTGCCTGAAATCAGGATCACACCCGAACTGTTGTGCAAAGCGCACACCTTGCTTTTTCCACAAGAGAAACCACCTAAGCCAATGTCCACCCATAAAGACCACCCCCGGGGCGGGGGGGCGACTGGCATGAGGTTCAGGAACCTTGGGTGCCACGGCCATCACTAGGTAGTTTAGTCTCGCTGGGATTCGGGTTGTTTATCTGTAAAAATCCACTGGGGGTTGGACCCAGCGACTTTTCGTTCTCTTCTTTGTGTAGCAGGGCTTGGTGCTGGGAGTCTGTTACTCTGGGACTGACCCCGCCGGACTAGCATCTGTGGGCGAAGCCAGGCTCCGGGGTGGGGGTGGGAGGGCTCAAGGGGAGCCCTGGTGACCCCTAGAAGCATATTCTCTGGAAAAGGCATCAAGTTCGGTTCTAAAGTGACTGACGCGCTAATAGATTTGGGAGCACGGGGCGCTGTCTCCCAACATTTAAGATGCCTCGGGTGATTCCAGCAGCTTGGATTGGGCAAGGCGAGCCTCCTGAGCAAAGCCGTGCCTGAGACTGTGAACTCAATCAAGCGGCCCTGTTGATATGGAAGCGTAGAAAATAGATTATTTTAATTGCTAATTGTTCTTGAGACCCCTACCAAGGTATTTTTTTTTAAATGTAGTCTAAATGTTCTCCTCAACAGGCACTGTGAAGGAATGATAGTTTATTCAGAGGCTGACATGCTGCTGATTGAAATACAAAGAAGGGTAATCAAGGTTGTTGTTTTTTTTTCATATGGCTTTTCACATTTACAAAGAAAATGATTTCAAGGGGTACGCACTAGAAAGAAACAAGCTGTAAACAGTTACCAATCAGCCAAACACTCCGATTACTAGGAATGTTCCCTCCACCCTCATCTCTTCCTCCCCCCGCCCCCAGGATAATTGGCATCTAAATGTAACAGGAATTATTCTTTTGTTCAGAACTCTCTGGGACGAGGATAAAGAGTCAGCCTTGAGCGCATCCTGTTCCAGCACTCCAGGATCTTGTCTTGGATAACGTCTCAGATACAAATGTCCCTCCCTCACACAGGCTGGGATGCAGCCCCAAGGGATGCCCCCTTTTCACCTCAGCCGGCCAGCCACGAAGGCCACCTCCCCACCCCTGCTCCCCAGAGCGAGACTTGGGGGACCCTCAGTTGGTGCGTTCTAAGATGGGAGAAAGGTCGGAGAGTATGGGCAGAGGAGACTGGACAGATGTAGAAAGCAAGCCTGTGGACGACTCATTCTTTGAAGAACTCCTCGCTTGCTGGTGCCTTGATAAAACGGCCTTTTCCTGGAGTCCTCAAGCCCCAGAGGCCTCTCGCGGGCCACCTTACAATGCCAGGGCATCAGTAGGCCTGGGACTCTGAAGGTCACTGGTAATGTTATGTGTTCAGGTCACCCTTGCGTCGGGGGGGCTGGGTCATGCTGTTTATGGCTTATGCCAGGGCAGGATCAAGCCACAACTGGTAACTTTTGAGAAACGTCCTTGGGTTTTCACTCTTTTTTAAATCTAAGTATAGTTAATATACAGTGTTATATGAGTTTCAGATGTACAATATGATTCAACAAATATATGAGGAACAGGCCCCTAACACCCCCCCACACTAATGGTGTGTCCAACACGCCTGTGAGGACGGGAAGAACACCTGCAGAGTCATCAGCCTTCAGACTGAGGTTTACACCTTGGTAAGTGTGTGAGCGTCTACCTGGGCACGTTTCCAACTCGGTTTTTAAGCTAAACCTAACTTCATGATTCAGGACAGGATGTATGCGCTGGTGGCGATGTGACATGTGTCTGCTCCATTCTTTCCTTTCTTTTTAATTTATTTTTTATTTATTTGAGAGAGAGAGAATGGGAAAGAGAGAGAGAGTGCATGTGCAGGGAGGAGAGGCAGAGGGAGAAGCAAGACTCCCCACTGAGCAGGGAGCCCGACGAGGGGCTCGATCCCAGGACCCCGGATTCATGACCTGAGATGCTCAACCAACTAAGCCCCCCAGGCGCCCCTTTCCTTTCCTAAATGCAATTACAGCCAACCCAACCACTCAGACCCTTTGATCAGCCTGAAGGAAGCATGCTTCAGAGGAATACACACAAACTAAGGAGAAAATCGGAGACGAGCAAGGAGGAGCTCTCCCTCCAAAAAGGAGCCCTGCTTCCTGGGCTTTACTGCAATTTCTAATTGTATTATTCTAATTTTTATTCTATGATTCCCATTATTTTTTTCCAAATTTTGGTGTCCTCAGTATATCTACCTTTAATCCATCCTACTGTATGTTATTCTTTTCCTCACTCACTCCTCTTCAGCCATACTGGTCTCCTCACTGTTCACAACAAACACTCCCACCATATGAACTTTATGGTGTGAGTTTCTCTCTGCCCAAATGCTCTTCCCTCCTCTGCCAGTCTTCCCAGTGAGGCATTCCCCCAACTACCCGATCTAAAATTATAGCCCACCCAACATACTTTGTCTTCTTCCATGCGTGATTTTTCTCCATAGCACTTAGCACCATCTAAAACCTTATTATACTTATTAATTTATCCCCTGCCTATCTCCTCTACTACAGACTCTTATAGTTCCAAATGCGGGCAGGAGCTCAGAGATTTCATCTGTGTTGTTGATTGCTGTGTCTGTCGTAACTAGAGAAGAGCCCAGCAAACAGCAAGTACCCCTTAAATACTTGTTGAATAAATACTTGAATGGACGAGTGATGTTGGCTTAACCACTCCCCACACCCAGGCAGCCCAGCCTTCTCTGAGTGCTTAGGGCCCTCGCTTCGTTAGAGTCCTGCCCTCACCACCCCCAACATGTCTGGAAGATTTCTGTTATGTCTTATAGGTTAGCAATATAATTTGAAAACATCAGTATGTTTCAGGCAGGTTCTGTTTTGTCTTAAACTATTTTGTCTTAAAGAATCTAATTTTTCATACTGATCAAAGTGAAAGTTACATTTTATTCTTTTAATATCCTATTAAATTCATTTTGTCAGTAATTTGCTTAATGTTTCCACATCTATTTTCTTAGGTAAAATCGGTTTATTTCCTTCCTTTATGTTATCCTCCACCTTGACAGGATTTAATGTCAGTGTTGTGTTAGTTTTGCAAATATTAAATCTATGTATATGGCATATGAATTGTTGGAGGTTTGAAGGAATTCACTCATGAAACTCTCCACGTCCAGAGTTATTTTTGAGAGGCAACTATGAATAATTTCTAACGTTTGCTCTATGCATATGTCTATTCAGATATTAAGATCTTCTTGGGGTCCTGGCTGGCTCAGTTGGTAGAGCATGCAACTCTTGATCTCAGAGTTCTAAGTTTGAGCCCCATGCTGGATGTGGAGATAATTTTTAAAAATAAATTCTTTTTTTTTTAAAAGATCTTCTTATAGCAATTTTGATAATTTAATGTTTTCTACAGAAATCATACATTTCAACAAAAAGGCAGCCTACTGAATGGGAGAAGATATTTGCAAATCATATATCCAATAAGGGGTTAATATCCAAAATATACAAATAACTCATAGAACTCAACACCAAAAAATAAATAATCCAATTAAAAAATGGGGGCAGAGAACCTAAAGAGACATTTTTCCAACAGAGACATACAGATGGCCATCAGACACATGAAAAGATGCTCAACATCCCTCATCATCAGGGAAATGCAAATCAAAACCACAATGATACATCACCTCACACCGGTCAGAATGGCTGGTATCAAAAAGACAAGTGTTGGGGAGGATGTGGAGGAAAAGGAACACTTCTGCACTGTTGGAAGGAATGTAAATTGGTGCAGCCACTATAGAAATCAATCAGTATGGGAGTTCCTCAAAAGTTAAAAATGGAAATATCATATAATCCAGTAATTCCACTTCTGGGTATTTACCTAAAGAAAATGAAAACACTAATTTAAAAAGATATATGCACCTCTCTGTTTATTGCAACATTACTTACAATAGCCAAGATATGGAAGCAACCCAAGCGTCCATTGAAAGATAAATGAATAAAGATGTGGTGTATACACACACACACACACACACACACACACACACACACACACACGAATATTACTTAGCTGTAAAAAAGAATGACATCTTCTCATTCACAACAACACGCATGGAACTAGAAAAAGTCAGATAAAGACAAACACCATATGATCTCACTTATCTGTGGAATCTAAAAGAACAAAACAAATGAATAAACAAGCAAAAACAGAATCAGACTCATAAAAACAGAGACTAAACGGGTGGATGCCAGAGCAGAGGGGGATGGAAGGATGAATGAAAGACGTGAAGGGGAATAAGAACTGAACACTTCCATTTATAAAGTCAGTCAGTCACAGGGATGAGAAGTCCAGCATGGGGAATACAGTCCATAGTACTGTAGTAATTTTGTATCATGACAGATGGTAACTGTACTTAACCTTGGTGAGCATTTTGTAATGTATGTAATTGTCGAATCACTATGTTATATACCTGAAACTGATGTTAATAGTGTATGTCAACTATACTTCAGTGAAAAAAAAATCCATACATCTGTATTTCTCAGTTGAGCTCTACAGAGCATGTGTTAACAATTTAAAAATTTCCTGTATCTGTTTTTATGCCCCATATTTTATTTCTATTTTAGTTCAGATGGATAGTCTTTCTTCTTGATTAAAGCTACTGGAAGTTTGTTCTACATTGTTGCTGCTTTTCAGAGACTCATTTGATAATTTACTCTAATAAATTTCTCTCCTAATTCATTGTGCCCTCTTAATTTGTCATTTCTTTATCCTATTAAGATATCTACTAAGATTACCTTACTCTTTTTTCTAACTTCTTTAAACGAATCTTTTACTTCACTTACTTTCTTTTATAAAAAAAGAAAAGCATTTAAGGCTATGAATATAGTATTGACAATATCCTATAATATTTGATATGTAGTGTTATTTCTTAAATGTCATATAATAGAGAATTTGTCTCATCCTTGTTCTGGGTTCCTGAGATAGAGCTTTTAAACCCTTGGAAATTCCTGAGTGGTAAGAGTGTCTTATTCATGAAGGGCCATTGGACCTTACCTGAGTTTATGCTAAGGAGATGACCTGGTTGGGGGCTGGTTATGATGGTAAGACCGACCATGTGATTAGAGGATTGTGGCTTTGAGTTTGAGCCACATGATAGCAGCCCAACCTCCCTATCTCTGGGAGATAGGGAAGGGGGAATAGACATTGAGTTCATTCACGTGATTCAATCAGTCACGCCTATGTAATGAAATTCCAGTAAAAACTGAACACTGAACCTCTGGTGAGCATCCTGGTTGCTGAGCATATCCATGTGCTGCGGGGGGTGATGCAACCTAATTCCACAGGGAGAGGGCACAGAATCTCCGTGTTGGGACCCCCACACTATGTGTTTCTTCACTGACTGGTCTTGATTTGTGTCCTTTAGAATAAAACTGTACTAATAAGTATAGCACTTTCCTGAGTTTTGTGAGTCATTCTAGTGAATTACTGAAACTGAAGGAGGTCCTAGGAGCACCTCTGAATTTGTAGCCAGTTGGTCGGAAGTTCAAGTAACTTAGGAGGTACCCCTAAACTTGCAACTGGCAATGGACATGAGAGGAGTCTTGTTGAGGACTGTGCCCCACACTCTGGGTGGTTAGCATCAGAATTGCAATATAAGTCAAACTAGTCTCTTATGGAATGTTTTGGGCTTTTTGTTGTTGCCGCTAAGGTAGAGGAACAGGCAGCCCAACACATAATCCAATGATCATTTCATCAGTCATGACTCTACTAAAACAAGTCATTGGTTTCAACTTCTTTCTGACTATGGCTTTTTTTTTTTTTTTTAACCCTGTGTGTATGGGTGCTAATTTGATGGTGAGAGGTAGAAATACAGTTACAGTATATGAAGTTAATCTATAAAATTGCCAATCCAATAAAAAATTATTAATATTCTCTTCTGTGGCCAAAGAAAACCATGTCTGGAAAGTAGATGAAAATCATATTCTATTAAATTGCTATCATTCCTCCACATGCATTTTTCAGCGCTTCAGTGTGAGAGTGCTTACACAGTTGGTACTTGGTTGGAATGGCAGAAGCCTCCAGAAAGGTGGGTAGACTAGGATGCCAATAACTGTTCCTATTTTTAGGGGAGGCCTTTCTTAAATGAAAATACGGTCAGACTGAAAACTTAACAGATATTGTGGCAAACACTCCCGAAATCAGGCATACCACTATGGCAAAAAGTGCTACAGAGATGGTCACTAAATGGGGCTAAGGAACCTTTCCGATTAGTCAATATTTCTGAATGGCCCTTTTCTCCAACCTCTTAGTCTGGAGGATTACATCTGAGATGTATGAGAGCCCACTACTGGACATTCCAAAAGGCAAGAACATAGGACTAAAAATCAAAAGAAAAAATATACCCATGGGTGATCCAGATAGTGAAGATGACTAACCAGGGCTTTTAAAACTATGCTTAATATGTTCAAGAACAAAGATTAAAAATCGGGGGGGAATACACATTTTTCTCTGTTGAAGATGGCGAACTTCAACAGAGAATTAGAATGCATAAAAAAGAAATTATTATTTTAGGTATAACACTTAAAAAAGGTATAACACTTAAAATTAAGACTTCATAAGATGTGTTTAAAAGCAGATGGAGCACTCACTCAGTTGTGTCCGACTTTTGATTTTGGCCCAGGTCATGATCTGAGGGTCGTGGGGTCAAGCCCCATGTCAGGCTCTGCACTGAGTGGGGAGTCTGCTTGTAATTCTCTCTCTCCCTCTACCCTTCACCTCCCCCACTCACGGACTCTCTTTCTCAAACAAACAAATTTTAAAAAATAAATAATAAATAAAAGCAGACTAGAGGAGCCAAAGGATAAGACTGGTAAGTTAGAGAGCATGTTGATAAAAAATATGCAAACTGAAGTACAGAAATTTAAAAGAATGGGAAAATTCAGAAAAGAATCTTAGAGATATGTGGGATGCAATAAATGGTCTTAACTTTGTGTGATTCACACAAAGTTTTAACTTTGTGTGATTCAAGTTCCAGCAGGACAGGAGTGAGGTCAGGGAAAAAGCAATAGTGAAGAGAGAATAAATCAAATTTTCCAAAACTGATGAAAAGATTCAAAGAACTCTGTGAACCCCAAGCACAATAAATACAAGGACAACCACACCAGAGCACAACATACACTGCTGAAAATCAAATAAAAAGAGAAATTCACAAAAATAGCTGGGGTTGAGGAGGGGAATACGCTGCTTTCAAAGGAGCAACAATATCACTTACAACTTATTTCTCAGAGAAAATGATGGAAGCCAAAGACAATGGAACAAAATTTTTAAAATGCTGAAATAAAATTTTTCTATATTAGAATTCGATAGCCAGGGAAAATAATATTTCCAAAATGAAAGGAGACAAAACTCATCAAAATTATACATTAAATATGTGAAACTTTTTTGTATGTCAACTCTTCCTCAATAAAGCTTTAAACATTTCAAAGGAGAATAAATACATTTCTCAGCCAACAAAAAACAGAAGATCTGTCACTAGGAATCATGAACTAAAACAAAAAGGAATTCTTCAAGCAGAAAAAAATAATCCCACAGGGAAACAGGATTTTAGGAAGAAATAAGGAGGAACAGAAAGGGCAAAAATGTAGGTAAATATAAATATTGACATATAAATTAATAATGATTTGTGGGGGTTAAAATGTGTGTAAAATTAAATACATAGGGATAGTAACACAAAATACCGAAGGGTGTTAATGGGGTTAAAGTGTTCTGAGGTTAGCATCCTTGGAGAAGTAGCAAAAAGTAATAATTTTTATACAACTGTGACAAGTTTAGGATGCATGTTGTTATTTCCAAGGTAACCACTAAAAAAGCTGCATAATGCATTACAAGCTGATAAGGAGAAGAAATGGAATAACTGTTTCCTTTCTATTATGTCCCAAATAATTTAAACACTTTCAATAGCAAATTATTCAAGACTCTCAATTTATGAAACAGTTGAGTTCCTATTAGTGTTGCTATAACCAAATGCCTACTAACATGTAATCTAATTTTTTTTTTGGTATTTGATTTAGATTTTTAAAAAAATATTCCAGGTTTTTAAAGATTTTATTTATTTATTTGAGAGAGAGAGAGAGAGAGTGTGTGTGCACGAGCAGGGCAGAGGGGGAGGGAGAAACAGACTCCCCGCTGAGCAGGGAGACCAATGTGGGGCTCAATCCCAGGACCCCGGGATCATGTCCTGAGCTGAAGGCAGACGCTTAACCAACTGAGCCACCCAGGTGCCCCACAGTGTTGTTTTTATAAAAGAGCAACTTCATAGGCTCAGACAAAAAGCACACATAAAAGTTTACTCAATATTTTATTTGAACATGTTAAAGCTTAACTTTGTAGCCACTTTTACTCATTATCACTGAAATCTAACTAACTCCCACTGGAACTTATTTGCCAGTAGAAGGGACAAAACCAGAATGTTCAAGACATTCTAAAATTTTGAAAAAGAATCATGCATCCCATTGATCACCATATGTGCCTCCCAAATGCTGCTCTTCCATAATTCCAGTCCTTGGTACTTCTTTCAATGCTGGGATTATTGATTACTCTGATCCCATATTTCCTTCCTCTTTTCTCTTGATCCCTCACCTATGTATGTCCACAAAGGACTTAACACCATGGAAAGTTCAGGGTAGTTTTGTAGGAATTTTTGCTTTGTAGTCCATTAGTTTCTTAATATTCCCAAAGAGCCACGCCCTCTGGTCCCAGGCAAAGCCTACAGAAGTCAATTGGACGGAAATGGCTGCCCCTCTGTCATTCTGTGAAATTTCACCATCCAAGCTGGAGTTGGGGTTGGGCTGATTCCAGGTAAATCAATTACAGAAGTTGGGACTTGCTTGGTGCCAGCAGCAAACTTTGCTTAGTTTGGTAGTAAATAAAAAAAGTCATTCACATAAACTGATAATTGAGGGTGTAAATGAAGCAGTGGCGATAGAAAGGGATCCTTGGAGACAGTCAGTGTTTCCTTGGTTTGAACCTCAGGGCCACACTGTTGATGCAAAACCTCTGACCACTAGGCCCGGGTCCATCAGGAAACACATGGCCAAGATGGGCTTCACACTGCAAAGGAGAGAAGCCTCTGTCATTTCTCCACTGAGACAAAGTTCTCTAGACAAACTAGACCGGTGAACCCCACATGGCTGCCCCACTCCAGTGTTTGTGTGGGGGAAAAAGTCCATCACAGCAGAATGCACGTAGGAAATGAAAGAATGCCGGGGCGCCTGGGTGGCTGTTGGTTGAGCGCCCGACTCTTGGGTTTTGGCTCAGGTCATGATCTCACGGGTTGCAAGATCGAGCCCCAAGTTGGGCTCCGTGCTCAGTGGGGAGTCTGCTTGGGATTCTTTCCCTCTTCCCCTCCCCCACTCCCACAGTCATGCGAGTGTGCACTCTCTGTCTCTCTCAAATAAATAAACACATCTTTAAAAAAAAGAAATGAAAGAATGCAAGGCATGGTAGAGGTAAATAACTATCAGTGAGAATGTGAGCAAGTTATTTAACTTAGGTCTTGATTTATTCATCTATAAAATGGGAACTAACAATTATGCCTACTTAAAGCTTTTGTGATGATTAACTGATACAGTGCACGTAAAGCATTAATACAATTCCTAGGTTAAGTACTCGATAATGTTGCAACCAGTGTATTATTATGGTTTTTTGATGATGATAAGACTATGCTATGTTTATCTGCTTGCCTCTGGTGTTTTAAAAAACTAAAAAAGTAAGCACCCAAGGATATAAAAATGAGCCTGTTGTCTGGATTTAAGGCACCATCTCCTTCCAGACCCGCGGGAGGAATAATGTGCCAACATTCCCTGCAGTGCCCCTCTGACTTCTGGTGACGTGCTGCAGAGTGGGAAGGAGGCGGAGAGATGCCGAGCACCCTGGGCCTTCCTGCTGTCTGTCCCCATTCAAAACAATGTGCAGGGCCAACTCCTTCTTTCAGACCCTCACTCTGGCCCATCTCTGGAAGGCTAGAAGCAGGAAAGGCTACTTCAGCGTGGCTCAGGAAGGTTCTTTCTCTTCCTTACGGTGCCCAGAATCATGGGAGAGAGGGATGAGAAGCAGCAAGCATAGAAACCCAGCATGCTGCAGTGACAAAAGTACTCCTAGGTTTTAACACCACATAGACTCTCTGTGGCACCTGGGCTGGGGCAGCATAGGGGAAAACCAAACAGACAAAACAACACAAAAAACCCCACCTGCTTGCAGATAACCTCGGTGCGAGTTAATCCTAATGAGGTGTCCACACGTCTCAGGATGCCCGTGTCCCTTTCATCAGAGCCAGACGCCCTGTGCGCCTCCGAAAAGGCAGGCCACCCGGTGCCGGAGCAGTACTTTTTCTCGGAACTGTGGAAGACATTCACCAGCCTGCAGCTGCTAAGACGTTATTAACATACAAAGAGCATTTTATGACCCAACTCATTTTGCTACCCAGCAGGGTCTGACCCCCTCTCTCCTCTGCCAGATCGCCAGGCCAGTTACAGGAGCAATCCATTCCATGGGAACTTCGTCCACTGCACTTTCACTATTAAACACATCTCATCGTTGTCAAAGGACCTCTTGTTCCTTTGATGCTGAAGGCCTCTCTCTATCGGACAGGGACTGAAAAACACTAGGGGCTTTGTGACCTGTGATGCGTATTAGGAAACCCAGATCAAATCCCAGGGCTCTAAATGTAGGCAAGGGGGAAATGGAAATGAGACACTCGTGGTCACAGGAGGGCATGAGGGTCTGGGCCCAGCAGCCGGAGGCCTGATGAAACGCCCACTGTCAGCAGCGGGCCCTTCGGGTTACCTGCCTGCCTGTGGGGATTCCAAAGCTGCCTCTGCCATTTCTTAGCTGGGCGACACTGGGCAGGCTCCGTACCCCCTCCAGGCCTCATCTGCCACTGCCAGTGCAGGGGCCCTTCTGGGCAAGTCCCACAGGAGCTAATGATGCCAAGGTGGAGAGGGCCAGAGGGGCCGACCAGAAGAGTGGGAGGGCAACAAGCGAACCCACTCGCCACAGAGCCGCTCTGCACGTGCTCTGAAGGTGCGCTCCCTCAAATGGCGCCAGGAAAAGAGAGTGAAAGTTTTTTAATGGCAGGGAGACAGCTCTCTCTCTAAGGAAGAGGGAGAGAAATGCATTGTAAACTCTGCAAAAAACAAAAAACAAAACAAAAAACCCAAAAAGCTGAGCAAAGAGAAGGAAAAGTGGCAAATAATCAAATCCCAAGACTATGAACACAGAAGGAAGCTCAGTTTAGTGCACAAACCCCAGCAGAAAGTCTAGGGTAATGCAGTCATTCTCAAACGTTTTCATCTCAAGACTGCTTTATACTAAAAAATTACTGAGGATCTCTTCTTTACATGAATCATGTGTATCAATGCTTAACAAAATTAGAAATTATAACAATTTAAAAATATTTCTACATTATTCTTTAAAATAATAAATTCATTACCTGGTCGCATAAGTAACCTATTCTTCTGACAGATAACTCTATTTTCCAAAATGAAACGAACATTTAGTGAGAAGAGTTGTGCTGTTTTACAATTCTGTAAGTCTCTTTAATGTCTAGCTTAAAAAAGGAAAGACCATTGACTCTTCATATGTGCTTCTACATTCAATCTGCTGCAATCTTATTTTGACTGAAGTATATAGGAAGATGTGGCCTCGTGGGCAGGCAGTTAGAAAAGAGAGGGCCTTGTAGATCCCCGAAAAAGGTCCCAGGAACTTCCGGGGTCTTCAGACCAGGATTTTAGAACTTTGAGGAATAAGGGCCTTGACTTTCAACAGGTTTGCACATGAATCCAGGCTCTGATACATCTGTGTGACCTTGGCCAGTTATTTACTCTTTTAAAGCCTCAGTGCCCTAATGGGTAGAACTGTAATGGCCTTATTACCTCACAAAGCTGCTGAGAGGGTTACCTGACATATTTTCTAGGTACAGTGTATTGAGCACAGTGTCAGACATATGGTACATAAGTCAGTAGCTACAGTGTTTTTTAAACATCATTACTATTAATAACAGATACCCATGAAATTTGAGCAGCCCTGGGTCCAATTTTTTTTGCAACCCTTTTTGAAAGGGTTCAAAACTATTCATCCGAGCTACCCTGGCCCAGGGAAAAACATTTTAAGTGTCTTTTTATCACAGCCTTTCCACCCTTAATGTTACATGTAACTAGTGATCATTAAAGGCATTTTGATGGAGAATTATGAATATAGTAAGTTTTTTAATGAATGAATCTAAGGCTAATAAAAAGTCATTTAAAATGTTTATGGGAAACAATAAATCTTTATTGATGCAATATACAGAATCTGGAGATTTTACCAGGGAATATGAGAGGCCCATCATACATAATTTAAGAGTGGAAATCTAACTTTAAGGCCAGTTTGAAGTTCCAATATACATAGTTAAATGATTAGCAGATTATAAAGCTCTCCCTTGGAAAACTAAAACCATAATGGATCATCTCTTTTCATATACACAGAGGTGGGTATTTTTTAGTGTTTTTTTTTGTTGTTGTTCTTATGTGTTTGTGTGTTATATGTTTGCATGTTTGTTATATGGTTATTTGCATTGATTTTTCTTCATTTCTGGAAATTCTACAGCTCCCAAACCAACAGCAGAGGCACCTGGTGAGAACTGCCAACTCTGTAACATCTTAGAAGAATTTCCACTCGTTTGGAGGAATGGGTACTCACAAAAGGTTTTTCACCAGTGTAACTTAGTTCCTTGTAACACGCAGGACATCCGGATGTGATGTAAAAAGGTAAGTAATATCAGGCTCTCAGATTCCCTCTATTCTGAGGAGATGTAGGAGCATGAGACATGTGGCCCCACGGTCGATTTTAATCAACACTTCCCGAATTGGTATGGCTGGGCGAGAGTGGGAAGGAGAAGAAAGGGGAACCACAGGAAGCGGGGGCAAAGTCACATGACTCCAAGGTTAATAAAGCAACAGACTGGAGTCCCCAGGGGAGCGAGAACATCCTAAGAGTGTTCCTGACCTGGAAACCCTGGATCAGAGGCCTCTGGCTCAGAGACGAGGTGTGTATCCCGGAACACGCACCATGGTGGCCGTGTGTGAAAGCAGCGTTGCAGGCAGCAGGCGGCCCAGCGGCCCAGAGGCAGCGGTCCCACACCTACCTGACTCCTTCTGGGTTGACCAACTTTTCGCCTCATTTTGACTCTACCTATACGAGCATTTGAAGGAACGATTACTTTTTCTCCAGCCCTGCTCGCTATTATTAAGGCCGGAGACCGGGATGGCAGGGGGAGACACGAATGAGATGTAAAACAAGAGTATCTTCCTAAGACTCTCCTCTTGAATGGGAAGCATGCTCAGGAATATAATCTCCACTTTCGGACTCTCATTAACTAGCACACATTCACAAGAATTCCTCATTATCAGAGATTTACTCATATAGATAGCCTGAAGAAGGATCTATCTCTACGAAGAACTGTTGCTCACGTGTACTGAGTGCTTGGCATGTGCCAGGCATGGCACGGGTGCTTTTGCATGCACTACCTCGTAACTCAGTTGATCCTCTCACAGGTTTCCGAAGTCATGCGACCACGTTACAGGTGAGGAAATCAAGGCATGGACTGGTTAAGAGACTTGCCCAAGGACACACAGCAATGGAGCCGCGATGTATACCCAGGCACCCTAGCCACTCTCCTATACCATCTCTCCTATAAACAAATACATCTTTAAGAAGAGTACATTCTGGAACATAAGAGATTCTTACAAATATATTCTTATTTCTCCCAGTCTCAGTTACAGTAGCAACAGCAGTAGCAGGAAAGTGGAACAGAAACTTACTCCAAAGTCCCTAAGAAAAGAAAATAGAAACTTTTCAACCAAAACTAAATGATTAAAAAAGAAACAAGTCAGGCTGGTGAACTGGCAGCTCAGCACAATGGCCTTTGGTAAACAGGCTGTGGAGAATCAGCTGGTTCTCCCGCTAGTCTTGGCTGCTTCACTATCTCCATGACCTGCGGTTGGTCACTCAACTTCCTTAATTTGGACTAGCATTGTGCTAATACAGAAGCCACTGGTCACATGTGGGCTTTTAGGTTTAAATTAGGTAAAATTGAATAAAATTAAAGATTCATCTTCCAGCAGCATTCTGAGTCCTCAAGAGCCACATGTGGCTACCATATTGGATAGAGCAGATACAGAACATTTCCATGATCACAGAATTCTCTACCGGACAGAACTTTGCACTCTGGTCTCAGGTCCCGCCCTGCTCCAGCATTCTGAGAATCCATGACTGATTGCTGTGGTGAGGGATGGTGGGCACTAGGTAGGAAAAGGTCTCAACTTTGCTAGTGCAGAAACCGGAACACCAATAAAGTCAAAAACTGAAGAATGCAAATTAGAAGAATGCTCTTATAAGGGTGACTTCTCATCTTTTGTTTTCACAGTCCAAAGATAGAAAAGAACATCCATCTGGTTACCACAGTGTAACAAGGCAGTCCTTTACATCTTCACATGGCACACCTTTTTTTGACTAAAAGCAGGTTGGCCACCTCAAGGTCCTATTTCTCCTCCTTAACAGAACCAAATGTCAAGGAATAACTAATGTCTCAGAAATATGTGTCCCACATTTTACTTTGTTGAGATTAACCTGCTTCTCTTAGTTTTCCCCAGGCCATCCTGGGCCGACCGCTACCTAGAAGTCTCCTCACCAGCCACTGACATAGTGAACGAATCTGAGCAAAGACCTGCCCTTCCGTAAGCATGAAGGGAAATCAATCCTAATTGTTCCTCATCCTTGCAGGCAGGGACTGGCTTTCCAAATTCAGCCCACATTAGCAGCCAGCAGCCCAAGAAAGCCCAGTCTGCTCAAAGCCCAGAGGATGTAATGAAGCACTGCCTAATGGAAGATTCACAGAGCTGGCTTGATTTATATTTTATTCTAAACCAATTTAGAGTTGATGCAGAAGAAAGGAAAATATCTTTGAAGTTCTGAAAACAGGACTTCAAAGATGTTTTCCTTTCTTCTTCATCGAATCTACTTTTTTTAGACTGTTTCCGGCATGTCTAAACAAAAAAGCCTTTGTTGAGAGATTTCAGATCCTGATTGACTTAAAAGAGGCTTTGAAATCTAGGGACAATTAAATTTACTTTTAGCTATATAGAAGAGGGCATGGTATTCACTACTGTCAAGCACTGTGGGGAATCTATCCTCATAAAATTCTACATTTCCCAAATTAAATTATAAACCCATTTTCCCTTGGAGAGATATAGTTTTAATCACATGGCCAAGCAAATACCATTATGGTTTAGATTTCTTTAAATACTTTCCCAGGAAAATATTCTAATAGCATTATCTTAAGGTGCCTACGAAGTTTTATTTGTTTGCTATTTCTCAGGGATACAGGAAGAAAGAATATAGGCTAAGAAGTCTCGTTAACTGCCCTAAATGCTGGAAATAATCAAGACGGGCAAGTATTTTATAGAAATAGCTCTCCTGATAGCAGCCATGCAAAATGAGGAAGGCAATTAAAAACAACACGGGCATGTATTTATCCCAGGCTTCGAATGAGACAGAGCCGTAAGAAATCTGGAGGTCCATTCTCCTTCAGTACCTCTCTCGATCCTTACCTGAAGAGTGGGCTGTCACAGCACACACAGTGATACATTCCTGATTCCTTGTTATTCAGATAGACCCCACTGAAAGGCTGAAAGTAAATCAGACATATCAGGTATAGGCTTCTCATAACACCAGCAGGAGATGATACAGCAGATTTAAATCCAAGATTCAGTCCCCAAATAAAGGAATTTTTGTACTAATTGGACAAAGTGTAAATATCACTGGAGAGGAAATCATAACCCGCCCAATGAAGCAGCCTTGCAGGCTTATCACAACCTGGCCTGAGTGCCAAATATTCAAATTATGACATAATAATGCTTTGTATTTATATAGCACCTTTCATCCAAGAACATCAAAGTCCATGAAAAAGTGAGAGAACAGTCCTCTGGATTGTGTAAGATTTCAGTCTTCATCTCAAAAGAGCTAATACAATAGGAATCCAGTCCACTGTCTAAAACACTGTGAAGGGGGGCAGAGCAAGATGGCGGAGGAGTAGGAGACCTGGATTTCGTCTGGTCTCAGGAATTCAGCTGAGTAGGGATCAAACCATTCTGAACACCTACGAACTCAACAGGAGACCGAAGATAAGAAGAGTAACAACACTCTGAACAGAAAAGCGACCACTTTCTGGAAGGTAGGACGTGCGGAGAAGTGAATCCGAGGTGATACTTGGGAGGATAGACGGCGGGGGAGGGGGCCTCCGTCGGCCACTTCTGGCAAGTGCTAGAGCCGCGGAGCACAAAATCGGAACTTTTATAAGTCAGCTCCGCTGAGGGACGTCGCTGCAGTTGCTAAGCAGGGGGTGGAACCCTCGTGGGACAGTGTGGTCTCAGGACCCTCGGGGTCACAGAAAGACCGGGGATGCCTGAGTGCGGCAGAGCTCCCAGGTATCGGAGCGGGGAAGCCGGCTGCAGAGACAGAGCCGAGGCGCGGGCTCTCAGCTCGGGGTGGCCATGAACTGTGATCCGCGGCCCAGTCAGGCCACTGCTCCTCCAGCAGGGACCCAACAAGCGGCAGATCCGGGGAGACTCCCCTTCCTCCCCCGGGAGGAGCGGCGCGGGAGCGCACCGCAGGGATCTGCTGGGTTTGGAGACTCCACTCGGGGTCGGGTGCCAGGCATAGAAACGCTCGGTCACAGGCCGGGTGAGCACGGAGTGCGGCCAAAGACGGGGGACACGGGAGTGACTGACTGCTTTTCTCTGGGGGCGCACTGAGAGGCGGGGCCCTGAGTTCTCAGCTCCTCTGGGCGGAGATTGGGAGGCCATCATTTTCACCCTGGTCCTCCAAAGCTGTACCGAGAGCTTGCAGGGAACAAAAGCTCCTGAGAGCAAACCGGAGCAGCTTGCTTAGCCCGGACTCACAAGGGCAGGGCAATTCCGCCTCCGGCAAAGACATTTGGGAACCACGGCAACAGGGCCCTCCCCCAGATGATCAGCACGAACAGCCAGCAAGCCAAGACCAAGTTTACCGATCAAGGAGAACGGGAGAACTCCAGCGCTAGGGGAATACTGCACATAGAATTCATGGCTTTTTTACCATAATTCATTAGTTTTTCCCAAAGTTAATTTTTTAACTGTTTTTTTTTTAATTTTTCTTTTTCCCTTTTTCAAACAACATCTTATCAATCCCTTTTTTTAAAAAAACATTTTTTATTTTTCATTTTTAGAGTCATATTTTTATCCCTTCATAGTAGTTACCCTTATTTTTGGCATATATATATATATAAGTTGTTCTCTCTTTAAAATTTTGAGATACAATTTCTTCTAACAGATCAAAATATACCCTAAATCACTAGTGTATGGCTTTGTTCTATTCTCCTGCCTGATCACATTCTCTCCCTTTTTTTTCCTTTTTTCTTTTTAAATCTTCTTCTTTCCTGGGGCGCCTGGGTGGCTCAGTCGTTAAGCGTCTGCCTTCAGCTCAGGTCATGATCCCAGGGTCCTGGGATCGAGCCCCGCATCCGGCTCCCCGCTCCACGGGAAGCCTGCTTCTCCCTCTTCTGCTCCCCCTGCTTGTGTTCCCTCTTTCACTGTGTCTCTCTCTCTGTCAAATAAATAAATAAAATCTTAAAAAAAAATCTTCTTCTTTCTTTTTAAAAACATCTTATCAATTCCTTTTATAAAATCTTTTATAATTTTCATCTTTACAGTCATCTGCCATCCCTTCATTGTATCAACCCTTATTTTGTACATATATAAGTCTTTCTTCCTTTAAAATTTTAGCAGGCACTTTCTTCTAACAGACCAAAATATGCCCAAAAGCTAGTGTGTGGCACTGATCTATGCACTAGCCTGATCATATTTGATCATATTCTGGTTTTTTTTTTGTTTTGTTTTGTTCTGTTTTTGTTTGTTTTTATCTTTTTCTTTTTCCTTTTTTTTTTTTTCTCTTCTTTCTTTCCCTTTCTTGTCCCCTGGTTTCAGGTCTTTTCTGATTTGTATAGAGTATATTTGCTGGAGACGTTCTTAACCTGTTAGCATTCTGTTCTCTCATTCATCTGTTCTCTGGACAAAATGACAAGACGAAAAAAATCACCTCAGCAAAAAAACAAGAGGTAGTACCCTCTGCCAGGGACCTACTCAATACGGACATTAGTACGATGTCAGACCTACAGTTCAGAATCATGACTTTAAAGATACTAGCTGGGCTTGAAAAAAGTCTGGAAGTTATTAGAGAAACCCTTTCTGGAGAAATAAAAGAACTAAAATCTAACCAAGTCGAAATCAAAAAGGCTATTAATGGGCGCCTGGGTGGCTCAGTTGGTTGAGCGACTGCCTTCGGCTCGGGTCATGATCCTGGAGTCCCGGGATCGAGTCCCACATCGGGCTCCCTGCTCAGCAGGGAGTCTGCTTCTCCCTCTGACCCTCTCCCCTCTCATGCTCTCTATCTCATTCTCTCTCTCAAATAAATAAATAAATAAATAAATCTTTAAAAAAAAAAGGCTATTAATGAGGTGCAATCAAAAATGGGGGCACTAACGGCTAGGATAAATGAGGCAGAAGAAAGAATCAGCGATATAGAAGACCAAATGATGGAAAATAAAGAGGCTGAGAAAAAGAGAAAGAAACAACTACAGGATCACGAGGGCAGAATTCGAGAGATAAGCGATACGATAAGACGAAACAACATTAGAATCATTGGGATCCCAGAAGAAGAAGAAAGAGAGAGAGGGGCAGAAGGTATATTGGAGCAAATAATAGCAGAGAACTTCCCTAATGTGGGGAAGGAAACAGGCATCAAAATCCAGGAGGCACAGAGAACCCCTCTCAAAATCAATAAAAATAGGTCAACACCCCGACATCTAATAGTAAAACTTACGAGTCTCAGAGACAAAGAGAAAATCCTGAAAGCAGCTCGGGAGAAGAGATATGTAACCTACAATGGTAGAAACATTAGATTGGCAACAGATCTATCCACAGAGACCTGGCAGGCCAGAAAGGACTGGCATGATATCTTCAGAGCACTAAATGAGAAAAATATGCAGCCAAGAATACTATATCCAGCTAGGCTGTCTTTGAAAATAGAAGGAGAGATAAAAAGCTTCCAGGACAAACAAAAACGAAAGGAATTTGCAAACACGAAACCAGCCCTCCAAGAATATTGAAAGAGGTCCTCTAAGCAAAAAGAGAGCCTAAAAGCAGCATAGATCAGAAAGGAACACAGACAATATACAGTAACAGTCACCTTACAGGCAATACAATGGCACTAAATTCATACCTTTCAATAGTTACCCTGAATGTAAATGGGCTCAATGCCCCAATCAAAAGACACAGGCTATCAGGTTGGATTAAAAAACAAGACCCATCAATATGCTGTCTGCAAGAGACTCATTTTAGACCCAAAGACACCCCCAGATTGAAAGTGAGGGGGTGGAAAACCATTTACCATGCTAATGGACACCAAGAGAAAGCTGGGGTGGCAATCCTTATATCAGACAAATTAGATTTTAAAACAAAGCCTGTAATAAGAGATGAAGAAGGACACTATATCCTACTTAAAGGGTCTATCCAACAAGAAGATCTAACAATTGTAAATATCTATGCCCCTAACATGGGAGCAGCCAATTATATAAGGCAATTAATAACAAAAGCAAAGAAACACATTGACAACAATACAATAATAGTGGGGGACTTTAACACCCGCCTCACTGAAATGGACAGATCATCTAAGCAAAAGATCAACAAGGAAATAAAGACTTTAAATGACACCCTGGACCAAATGGACTTCACATGCATATTCAGAACATTCCATCCCAAAGCAACAGAATACACATTCTTCTCTAGTGCCCAGGGAACATTCTCCAGAATTGATCACATCCTAGGTCACAAATCAGGTCTCAACTGGTACCAAAAGATTGGGACTATTCCCTGCATATTTTCAGACCACAATGCTTTGAAACTAGAACTCAATCACAAGAGGAAAGTCGGAACGAACTCAAATACATGGAGGCTAAAGAGCATCCTACTAAAGAATGAATGGGTCAACCAGGAAATTAAAGAAGAATTAAAAACATTCATGGAAACCAATGAAAATGAAAACACAACTGTTCAAAATCTTTGGGATGCAGCAAAGGTAGTCCTGAGAGGAAAGTATATAGCAATACAAGCCTTTCTCAAGAAACAAGAAAGGTCTCAAATACACAACCTAACCCTACACCTAAAGGAGCTGGAGAAAGAACAGCAAATAAAGCCTAAACCCAGCAGGAGAAGAGAAATAATAAAGATCAGAGCAGAAATCAATGAACTAGAAACCAAAAGAACAGTAGAACAGATCAACGAAACTAGGAGCTGGTTCTCTGAAAGAATTAACAAGATTGATAAACCCCTGGCCAGACTTATCAAAAAGAAAAGAGAAATGACCCAAATCAACAAAATCATGAATGAAAGGGAGAGATCACAAACAACACCAAAGAAATACAAACAATTATAAGAACATATTATGAGCAACTCTATGCCAGCAAATTAGATAACCTGGAAGAAATGGGTGCATTCCTAGAGATGTATCAACTACCAAAATTGAACCAGGAAGAAATAGAAAACCTGAATAGACCTATAACCACTAAGGAAATTGAAGCAGTCATCAAAAGTC